CAACACGCTTTCTCTCCCTGATCATACAGTTATTTCTTGAAGTATTTGATGTTCTACAATATACACAAACTACAGAAGTTGCTCTTGGCTTAATGAAACTGACATCATGCTTGGAGCGAGCCTTGGGTGATGTAAGTGCCATCATGAAGAGTCTATTGCAGATTTGGTTTTCTAAGATGGGAATGAGCTCTCGGATTTAATTGCATGCTGAAAATGTGAGATTACCCTGTACTGTAGTAGTACACAAATAGCCCAGCTGCATTTTGAGGTGGAGAGATGTTCTCTTCTGGATCCAGTTGTGCTAATGGAAACATCTTCTGGGGCTCCTTCACCTGTGCTGGTAGAGTTGCATGTGTGAGTGCTGTTACTAACCAATTTCATTTAAAAAGAGCAAAGTTTGCTTAATCAGTGTACATATAGTAGTAGGTCTTTGTTACTCTGATTTATTTAACTGAAACAGCGAGCAGCATACCTTCCACAGAAGATATGATGATGTGAGGAGAGGCAGGAGCATTCACCTGGAAATGGGCTGCTAGATAACTTCTTTCCTCAGAGCTCTGTTCGCAGAGTGTCTGTCTGTTTAAATGCTTCAACATGAGTCTTGTGCTGCAAAAACATCTAGAAGTCAGCTAACTACTGAAATTCCAGATCTAGCTGATCAGCTGGACAGATCTGGGATCCATCTTGTAGTTCTGAATGTTTGTCTTGTTAAGACATTCCCTCTTTCTTTTACCCTGTAGTAGACAGTAAAGGTATGCACTCTTGTTAAGTTTAAAGAGTAATGCTGCAGGAGTTCCGTGACCAGCATGAGGCAAGGAGTGCATATGTGAGATAAATTAGACTTAGGAATTCTGACTGGTATTAAGAAATTTGTATTGTGAGTCATTTTAGATAGAACGTGAATTAGGCTATGGTTCAACGTTTGGTGGCCGCGCTGCTTAAGTTTGTTTTAATCAGTCTTCACAGCCATCTGCCTTGTTTGCTGGTACTCTGTACGTTACGTGAGTGCAAATATTTGAAGGCCTAGTAGCAAGCTAGATTGATGAACTGGTCCAGGTGCCCTTCCACCTTTTTCCCCTACCCCCATTTTTGTTTTTCATCTGGATCAGTTCCTTGATCTGCCTCACTACATGAACACACAAACAGATGCTACCACTACTTAAGGGTATGCAGGTTAGGAAGAGGGGTGCAGCAGCTGTTTTAAAAGGCTTTGCTGCTGGGGTATATTGCCCACAGATAAGATAAAACAGCTGGTGGTTAAATCTCTATGAGGAGTTCTGGAGACAGAAATGCCAGAGGAAGAACAATGGGCTAATTCACGCCTAGACATACCAATTTGCCCAAGTATGGGGGATGGTGAATTTTGAAGTAATGAAAAATTACCAAAGATTGGAAAAAACCATCAGGGAGAATACATAGAATGGAAGGCTTCATAGCAGTTGAGACTAGAGATGCTAAGATTGCCCAACTAGGATAAAATCTAGTTTAAGGAACAGCCAGAATCAGAAGACAAACCACAAGTCTCCTTCCTTTTACAATGACAGACTCTATAGATTTGTAGGGTAAGAATGAAGTATGGTGTCCTGGGTAGAGTTTATTCCCTTAATTACATGTTCTTGTTGTGCTTTACTTTTTTTTTTTTTTTTTTTTGGAAGAGAAGAGCAGGGCGTGTACGGACACTGTGAAAAGCCTAACTATGGGAACATTAAGTAGCACATGCACTCCTTCCTGATATGTTCCGTAAATTTTAATTTGTCATGAAATTATAGAATTTAAAGCCTTTTTAAGGATTTTGTCTGATTAGTGTTTTTACAATAATGAAAATGGTTACTGGGTGAAATAGTCAAGTTGTATGTTTGAAATACAAAGAAGTATACTGAATTACTGGTGTTAATCTGTTTTGCTTTTCTTTAATAGGTATATTTACTGATTGGTAAAGATTGCCCTTTCCTTCTAAGAGACTTGCTTGCTTCTGAGCAGCTTGCAGTTATCTTTGGACAAGCTGTAGTAAGTGCATAGTTTTGAAATAAGTAATAAATACTGAGCTGGTTTTCTTCTTGCCAAATGGCAGGTTTCCAAGCATAGCCTTTGCTTGCACTGAAGAAGAGTTTGAAAATTCTGTAATATATTGGAAAAATTTTCATTTTATACATGTTACAGTCTGAGGTATATATGGCAAAAATAGTGAATATTGTAAATGGAAATATTTTTGAAGGTAAGCTCATAAGTTCTTACTTGCTTTTCTACATGAAAAACCTACATACGTGAGATTTCACATATCTGTCAAGGGGGTGAGCAAGCTGCAGAGTTGTCTGCCTCTTTCTGAGTTGCACTACTTGAAAATACATGTCTTGCACTGGCTGTTTCTGATCAATTGTGTTTCCCTTCACCACCGCTGTAGTAAGATACTTTATAACATTTACCATACTAGAATTTTTCAAAATAGAGGGAACTAATTTGTTCAACCCCATGTGAAAAAAAAAAAATTAAAAAAAATTCTGATGACATTTACAGTCTTGTGTAAACAGAGTAGGTGGTCTTTCTCATACAGTTTTACAAATGTAAATTCTTTGTTAGGACAAGATATTGGATGTGAACTGTAGAAGCTTGTATTGTTAGCCGGACTAATAGTGTTATAAGGATTATTTCTTGAATTTTGATGGCATGTGGAATAGTTCATTTCTTACAGTTAAAAAATAAAAACAAAGTTTCCCTTTTTGTTTGCTAGTGAGCTGAGAATACAGCTTTGAGTGCAACTTCTCTATTTCATAGAATCATAGAATCGTTTAGGTTGGAAAAGACCTTTAAGATCATCCAGTCCAACCATTAACCCACACTACCAAGTCCACACTAAACCAATCAAGGGTAGACTAGACTAAGCCATGTCCCGAAGTGCCACATCTACCCGTTTTTTAAACACTTCCAGGGATGGGGACTCTACCACCTCTCTGGGCAGCCTGTTCCAATTCTTGACCACCCTTTCCGTTTCATGTTAATTTGTATTAAATTATTGTGGATTTATACTGCGAGAAGTAAGAGCTAAACTTCATTTCATTTGTTTGCCTGTCATAACTGTTTGGAATGTCTAATAGCTAATTTGTTCTTCCCATATTATATTCTACAGCATGTACAAGTAAGCTGAAAGATTTCCTTTCAGAGAATACTGGGAATTGCAAATAGTGAGTTGCTGTTACTGTGACAAGCTGTGGCCAGTCATCTTGACAGTAGACATTGTAGTGTCTCAATAAGTTCTGAAATTTTCTGTCAGGGAAAGATACAAGGTAATAAATAATAGATTTCTTCATGCAGTAATCACTTTGTTTATTAATTAGATGAATGTACTGAGGCTATTCATTGGATCTCCATATGGTCTGAATCTTCGTAATGTTTTGTGGCATGGGTTTGCATCCCCACAAGAAATTCCTGCAAAGTAAGTTACCAAAAAGAATCTCGTTTTCTTACCAGTCAGACCTGAGAGTGCTTGAAAAGCTGTTAGTAAAACTTACTGTTCTTATTGAAAAGAATTTTATAAAACCCTAAAAATGTCCAAAGGCCTCTGGCAGTATCCTAACAGTTTTCCCCTGTTGCTGCCTCTTCTTTTGGAAAGGGATTTCCATAGAATACTTCAGCCATTATAATGCTGGTCAGTTTTAGGACCAGTGGGTTTTTTACTAGCAGGAAAACCAAGAAAGCTTAAGGTCTTTTTTTGAAACCCAGTTCCTTGTCCGTCAAGGGCAGTCAGGAATAACTTGGAACAAAAGGCAGAGGAATGGAATAGCAGGAGGGGCAACAGCAGCTGATGTAGAATACAGTGATGCTTTTTTCCTAATTCTACGTTGTTTTTTCATGCTTGTGAATGCAATTTATTATTAAGTGCTGTACTCAGATGATGAGAGTGTAGGTTTTGGATGTTCTTTGAAGGAGCAAAAAAAGCCTTTGTTCCCCCCCAAATGTTGATTCTTTGCAAAAGATTTAGTTGTATAAGCTTTTCTAATACATTCTGGTATTCTCCCTAGATATTGTGCTATGCTGCTTTTTTTAACTGCAGGAATGGGTCAGTTGTTACAGACATATCTTCTGCAAACTAAATGCGTTTTAGTACATCGACCTTATGCGATCTTCGTTAGCTTAGAGGAGCTTGATGTATTTCCAGGCAAGTATTTAACCATTAGCAAGTTTTTATTATGCTGTATTTGTTATTGCTTCATTGACCAAAAATAATTGTCAATAACAGTTGAAAATAATGCATTTTCCACAGTTCTAAGATTGAATCTTAACTAAGATACCTGTATACACTGTCATTACATGAACCAGTCATGCTTGTAGGACAACTTATTAATATGTAGGCAGTTCCACCGACTATTGAATCAAAAAATACTGCATTCTAAAATAATTATAACACATTGAAACATGTAATGTTACTGCTTCTAAAAGACTTCAACTGTATGTTCCTGTTTTTTGATGATGGAGTTCATTTCATGTAACAGTCATCTAGTTTGCTTTTACAGAATCTAATTCTTTCCAGAATCAGTGGGTCCCAGCCGCAAGGGTCCCAGCAGGAGTGCTTTGCATCTTGCAGGGTAGTGCTGAAACAGAGTAAAGGATGGTGACACATCTCCAGTACACTGATGCTTTTGTCAGGGAAGAACCTGAAGTGTCAGATTAAAATCTTCTCATCTCCCTGGCTACAGACCTTATTTAGTTTATCCTTACTATTTTAAAGCAACAACTTTATGGTGGTCAATGTGGTCAATGTCAATGGTGGTCATGGTCAGATTGTGCTACGTGATCAATTTGCCAGTGGAACATCTGTTCGTGGAACCGAGACAGGGCTTTTGGGAACCAAATCAAGCTGATAACTTCCCAATCATCATGTAGTATAAATCCGATAGCTGTTGATTTGCTTCAGAAAAAACCCTAGTGCAATCAAGTTGCATTTGCCGTTTCAAGCTTTCTCTTGGATAAGATATTTATAATGTGAATTTTTAAGTGTTAGTTTCATTATATGGTATCATTGAAGTATGAAGTGTTAATTTATTATGCTAAATGCCATCACAGAAAATTGATAAAGTAGGAACAATGTGCTCATGTTCAAGTGTTCATACTACTGTACTGATTCTTACCAAATTAAAATGAATAATACATATTAAACTTTTTTAAGTATTTGGAGTAGGTGGAGAACAACTCAACAGAAGCTAGGCCCAGTTGTTGTGTAGTCTTCTAGTCTCAGTAAAAAGCAGCAACAACTTTTTAAGTGTTTTTACAGTGTAATTTTATATTATCACTAAAAATGCCATTTTACAAATTCAATTTGTGATCTTAAATATGACTACCATTGTACTTGCATAAAAATAAATTGGATAACTTTTAAGTCTCCCTTCAGAAATGCTGAAATAATTTTATATTTTCAGTGAAATATTAAGAATGAATTAGTAAACTGTAGATTGTATGTGGTTTATCAATGTTGTTTTGCTAACTTGCAGATCTTAATCATGAAACACTTTCCATAGCTGAAGAGCTAGTAAAACTGTCCAGTTTTGTATTAAAAACAATGTTACCATTTTGGATGGCTGCTTTAACAGCTTTCAAGCAAAGCAGGTAACAGTAGATTTATTTTTTTAATTATTTTTTTTA